TTAATGGCTTAGGAGTGTTTGCGAGTGTTTGTGAATAATTAGGGCCGGTAGTGTTGTCTCCAACGGCAAATACGAAAAAAGCAGTGCAGGCGTCGCAGGAGGCGGTCAAAACTCCAGACGCGTTTTGAGTTCCAGAGTCGCTAACCAGGACTCGAACCAAACGTGTGACCCCCACCAATGGATTGCTCGTTCGGAGAGCAATCCATTGGTGGGGTCACACGTTCCGTTCGAGTCCCATTTAGCGACGCTGGAGCTCAAAACGCGTCCGGGATTTTGACCGCCTCCACCGGTCTTCTGGCAAATCCGGATCCGCACAGTGGCCACTCTGCGTCCTGGCCAATGAGAGTGAGAGAGACGGACGGCGTTACGTAACATGTGGACGACCCCTAATCGCGGCGCGGCGACGCGGCGGGCCGCGTGGCAAAGCAGGCAAAGTCCCACCGGCTGGCTCTCGACTAGGTAGACACGGCGCTGTTAGCGCGCCCCGCCGCCGCGGCCCAGTCTCAGGCGGTCCGCGCTCCGCGGCCGCGGGTCCCGGAACGCTCTTGCTTCAACACGCCGCGCCGCGCCGCACAGCGCAGCGCGCAGCACCGCGCGGCACAATGAGAGCCTTTGTAAGCCGCGCCGCACCGCGCCGCACCGCGCCGCACCGCGCCAAGCTCTGCCACCGCCAGCCCCGCCGCTGCAGAGGCAGGGCCGCAAGGCGAAAAGGGTGGCATAGTGGAGACAGTCCGACGGTCGTGCACCCCTCGGGGTGGCGCCTCTGGGGCCCGGAAAACAAAGCCGCAAAAATGGATTTGGCGAGCTCGAGTTTAGTCTCATCTCGAGCAAGGGGGGCGGGAGGAGGGGGGTTTCCTTCCGCGTTCCGCCCCTCCCGCATCCCCACGGGGTGAGAGTGCGAGAGAGACAGAGCGACGAAACCAGACTGTTCGGAATAATGAGCCTGGTGGAGCGTTACACTGTTGTTGTTCGGAGTACCTCCCCGTCCGATCAGCGGTCGTCGACGCACGCGTGTCGCGTCGCGGCGCTCTGTGGACTGATTCCGAGAGTCGTCGCTCCGTCTCTCTCGCACTCATGCGGCATCCCGCACAGGTAAGAGAGAGCGCCGAGCGGCGACAGCGCTTCTCGGAATCAGTGTGGTGGTCGCGTGCGGCTCGGTGGCGGCCCCGCGGCCACGCGTCCACGCCGAGCATGTCCTGTCCGTGTCCGTGGCGTCGGCGTCGGACTGGCGGCGCGCCGCGGCCACCCTTCCCTCCCCCGCCCTCCCCGCCCGTCGACGGCGTCCTCGGCGTCCTCGGCTAACTCGCGGTGACAGTGCGGGTCCTGAGCACGCTCGTTACCGCCGTCACACCATTAGTCCCGGACTCCCCCCGCACGGGGCGACTGCGCGTCGCGGCGCTGCGCGTTGCCCGCGGACTGATTCCGAGAGTCGTTTTCGTCGCTCTGTCTCTCTCGCGCCTCTACGGGACGCCCCGTGAGTGCGAGAGAGACTGCTTGCTGGCGTCGCCCTGCAGCTAGGGCTCGCCCCGCCAATTCAAGGCGCCGTTTCCGCGTGCAGCCACCCGGCATCCCCCCCTCCCCTTTCACCCCTCGCTGCTGGATTCCGCGATTCTGAATGCGGAGTTTGCCCGGGGCGCTGCAAACTGGGAGCAAACGGGGCGGGGCGGGGAAGGCCCGGAGAGAGGCTAGAGAGGGCGGCTGCGGTGGAAGCCGCGGCTGCAGACTGCCTTCGAGAGTCGCTTTCGTCGCTCCGTCTCTCTCGCACTCGTGCGGCGTCCCGTATGGGTGCGAGAGAGACAGAGCGACGAAAGCGACTCTCGGAATCGGTCTACTGGAGCAGCGTGGAGCAGCGGAGCAAAGGGAAGCTTGCTGCTGGGAAGGGAACGAAGTCTGGAAACATAGTCTGGAGGCTGGCTGGAGCCGAGCTGGAAGTAGTCTGCAAGCTGGAGGCAAGCGTGGGGACGAACGCGGGCTAAGCTGCAAGCTGAGCCCCTCGCCTGTATATTAGGGTGGGTCGAAAATCCCAGAATTAAGCGGCGTATGGTTTTGTTTGCAGTTGACCATATTAGAAAAGAGATCCCACAATGCTGGGGTCTGGTGACGTCACCTTCCATCTCTTTGGAGGCTCCAAACTTGGGTCTAATAGTGAAAAATGGCACTTTTGGCCTTACAGGGACCAAACCATGGATCGCCCAGGATGCGGCTATCTCGCGATGGGTGCGGAATATGTTCCATTATATTCCTGCAAAGTCTGGGCGATGTGGCTCAACATCTTGGTTAAGCCCGGGCACTTGTTTTAACGCTAAAACAAAGTTGCAAAACACTAAAAATTGGATTTAAGGGTCTATTGTTTACTCAAAGGTCCCAGATACTTATATGAATGGAAAGGGCTCAAAAAATGCAATTTTGTGGTATATATAACTTTGTGATCGGACGAAAATTGTTGCCAGGGCGAAACTTAACACATTTCAGCAAAAGCTTCAAAAACACTAAAAAGTGATCTTTAGGAGAATATGTATTACCTGTGGATCCAATATTACCATACTGTTCGAAAGATCTAAAAAAATGCAAAATTTTGGTATATAAAGCTTTGTGTTTGGACAAAAACTCGAATAGTTGCAAAATAATTAACAAGCAAAGCGAAGCAAAGCCCTTGTGAGTCAAGAGATGGCCCGACGAACGTTTACACTTTCTTTTATAATTAACAACAAATCGAGTTTTTGTTCAATCACAAAACTTTATATGCCAAAATTTTGCGTTTTTTTTTGGTCTTTCGAACTGTATAATCATATTGGATTCACAGGCAATACATATTCTCCTAAAGATCACTTTTTAGTGTTTTTGAGCTTTTGCTGAAATGTGTAAAGTTTCGCCCTGGCAACAATTTTCGTCCGATCACAAAGTTATATATGCCAAAAAATTTCATTTTTTGAGCCCTTTCCATTCATATAAGTATCTGGGACCTTTGAGTAAACAATAGACCCTTAAATCCAATTTTTAGTGTTTTGCAACTTTGTTTTAGCGTTAAAACAAGTGCCCGGGCTTAACCAAGATGTTGAGCCACATCGCCCAGACTTTGCAGGAATATAATGGAACATATTCCGCACCCATCGCGAGATAGCCGCATCCTGGGCGATCCATGGTTTGGTCCCTGTAAGGCCAAAAGTGCCATTTTTCACTATTAGACCCAAGTTTGGAGCCTCCAAAGAGATGGAAGGTGACGTCACCAGACCCCAGCATTGTGGGATCTCTTTTCTAATATGGTCAACTGCAAACAAAACCATACGCCGCTTAATTCTGGGATTTTCGACCCACCCTACTGTATATTTACTCTGGGCCGCCAACCGCGCCGCCGCCACCGCCACTTCCGCGCACCCTTGCCCCCGCCCCGCCCCGCCCCCACCCCCGCCCCGCCCCCGCCCCCGCCCCCGCCTCCGCCCCGCCAACGCCGCCACACTTTGCCATATAATTTCGTCCCCGCGGCTCGGCGGCTCGGCGGCTTGGCGGCGCGGAGGCTGGGTCGCGTCGGGCACACTGCGCACGGCACGGCACACGCCGCCGCCGCGGTACCGCCCAAGAGTGTGCCGTTGCCGGCCGTTGCAGCATGTATGCAGTGTGCAGCGCGGCGCCGCGGCGTTGCGGCGTCGCGGCGTGTGAACTGATTACGAACGGGGCTCACGCCTCGCGCCGGCAATACACTGGAACACCCGCCAGCGCAAAACACACACCCACCCACCCACCGCCGAGTTGGGATCTCACAGGCCACTGGAGCATGTGCGGGACAAGGACAGACAATGCTGGCCCAGTCCCCAAAGTTGCGTTCGCAGCCCCTGGCTGCTCCTGGCCCTGGCGCGGCGAACCGGTGAACCCGCGTGAGGGCGGTACGCCCCGTGTGGCCCGAGACCTGGTAAAGATGGTGTTATTTTGGCGTTCTTCGGACTCCAAATGTACTTCAAATTAACACCAAAAGGACACCATAAAAGCACGCTAAAATAACTCCATAATTACATCAAATGCATTTGGTGTCAACGCGGCGTTATTATGGAGTTTTTTTAGTCTAAAAAGGCTCGTTTTTTCACCAAAAGAACGCCATAATAATACCAAAGCAGAGGACAGCCATAGAGAAAAATGACAAAAGAGAGACGGCAGGTGTTGATCCCCAGATCTGCGACTCGGAAGTCTCGTGCGGAACCGCTTGGCCAGAGCGACTCCGAGAAGATGAGCCGCACGGCAGCTATATGTCGTGCGTTGTGCCGCGCTCGGACTTAGCCCGAATCCCCGCGGCTGGAGCCCAATCTTGTTTCTATAAACATGAACTCGTACAGTGTAGCAGACCATTACAGGTTCCGTCATGTTTATAGAAACAAGATTGGGCTCCAGTTCTATGTTCTATAAACATGACAGGACCTGTAATGGTCTGCTACACTGTACGAGTACATGTTTATAGAAACAAGATTGGGCTCCAGCCGCGGGGATTCGGGCTAAGTCCGAGCGCGGCACAACGCACGACATATAGCTGCCGTGCGGCTCATCTTCTCGGAGTCGCTCTGGCCAAGCGGTTCCGCACGAGACTTCCGAGTCGCAGATCTGGGGATCAACACCTGCCGTCTCTCTTTTGTCATTTTTCTCTATGGCTGTCCTCTGCTTTGGTATTATTATGGCGTTCTTTTGGTGAAAAAACGAGCCTTTTTAGACTAAAAAAACTCCATAATAACGCCGCGTTGACACCAAATGCATTTGATGTAATTATGGAGTTATTTTAGCGTGCTTTTATGGTGTCCTTTTGGTGTTAATTTGAAGTACATTTGGAGTCCGAAGAACGCCAAAATAACACCATCTTTACCAGGTCTCGGGCCACACAGGGCGGTACGGCGAGGAAGTTGAGTCCGGGCCGTCCCGCAGCGTCCCGCAGTGTGGCGTACTAGTGGTTCTGTCTCTTTGCGCACGCCGCGCGCACGCACGTGGAGCGTTATCTGCCCCTCGAATCGAGTTCGTGTGCGATGTTGGCGGCGGTCCCCGCACTGTAAGTACGCGGTCGCTTCAAATTCTCTTCACCGGCGGGAACCTTTAAGTGCAGAAAAATTCATAGAGTGCGAAGAAAGTCGTGGTTCGGCTTGGCCAATTAGCGCGGTACACTGTGCGGCTCGCCGTTTGGCTCATGGTGGTTGGCGTGGTTGTGGCAGGTGCGTGCCCTGCTGTGGTGGGCCGCCGTGCTGGCCGTGGTGGCACGGTCCAGCGCACACGCGGACGCGACCGCCGCCCCCGTCGCCGCCGCCGCCGCCGCCACCGCCGCCCCCTCATCGGCCGCCTCCACCGCGGAGCCCGCCCCAACACCGGCCGCGCTCGTCTTCACCAGCACGGCGTCCTCGTCCACCTCTACGACGACGACGCCGACGCCGACGACGACGGCGGCCTCCAGCACGGTGGCGCCGTCGCGGAGTCCTCGGTCCGACGCGTCCGGCGCGGACCCCCTGCTGGACGGCGACGTCGACGACGAAGACGAGGACGGCGGCAACCAGAAGCGGGAGGACCAGGCTGTGCGCGAGCAGCACCAGGTACACCGAAGTTCTCCGGGAAGAGGTCGGCGTTACAGTGCAGTCACTTTAATGTTGTCGCTTTCCCCAGGTGGCCATCCTGAAGCAGATCAACCGCGTCAACGAGGACGGGTCCTACACCTTCGGCTACGAGGCCGCGGACGGCAGCTTCAAGATCGAGACGCGCGACGTGCTGGGCCACGTCAAGGGCATGTTCGGCTTCATCGACGAGCAGGGTCAGCTCAAGAGGGTGTCGTACACGGCCGCCAACGGCACGGGCTTCCAGGCGGACCCGACGCCCGCCTCGCCCGGGGTGACCGTCAACGGCGCGCCGACCGGCCAGCAGCCCCTGCCAGGCGCCGTGTACCAGCAGGTCAGCCAAGGGCTTCATTCCTGGCTCCAAGCCTTACCCACATCCTAACTACGTTACAATTACATTTACAAACGCTTGGTGCACTAGGGTAAATCCACTCTGGATTTTTAGAGTTTTGTCAGAGTTGCAGAGTTTTGCTCAGAGTTTCAGAGTTCAGGTCAGAGTTTCAGAGTTCAAGTCAGAGTTGCAGAGTTACGCTCAGAGTTTTAGAGTTCAGCGTCAGAGTTGCAGAGTTTTGGAGTCCTTGATTTTAGAGTTAAGTGTTCAATCCAGAGTTCCAGAGTCCGGTTCACAGTTTCAGAGTTTGAGCCATCGTCTGAGTTTCAGAGTTAGATATTTCCAAATTGACGAAGCCATAACTCGGGAAGTTTTTGTTATTTTTGATTGAAAATTGGTAGGTGTCATCTATGGACTATTTTACTAGGACAGTTTTAATTTCAATCTGATCGGATAGTATTGGCCCGGTATGCTGAGGTACATTTGATGGTAGCGAAAAATGGATTGCAGATTCGGCTCGGACTCGATTTTTAGCCCCTAGGGACACTTCCAAGGCAGTTCTAGACCAAGCACTGTTCAAGATATTCTATCATTATTAAGACTCTGAAACTTAATGCTGGCACCCTGACAACAGACTCTGGATAACACTCTGACATCAGAAACTCTGGATAACACTCTGACTCTGAACTCTAGATTACACTCTGGCCTTTTAACTCTGGGGTGCGCGAATTTCGTGAGTCTCTGGTTCAGAGTCTCTTGTAACTCTGGAATAAGTCAGAGTCTCAGAAACTCTGAAAATTTCAGAGTGGATTTACCCTAGTGTGGTTCCCGCGCAGGTGATCCGGCCGCTGGCTCGCCGCCGGCCGAGCGCCGTGCGCCTGGTTGTCCCCCCGGGCACGGCCTCCACGGCCTCCACCACGGACGCCAACGGGCGCGCGCACGTCATCCAGCAGATCCCGCGGCGCGTGCGGCCGCTGCAGCAGGCCGACGGCTCCATCCTGTCCACCGTGTCGCCCTCGTCCACCACCACGGCGTCGACGGCGTCGTCGCGGGCCTCCGTGCGGCCCGTCCTGGTGCTGGCCACGCCGGCCCCGGGCGCCGACGGCAGCACCCCGACGCCCGCGCCGTACGGCCAGTACGTGCGCCGCGCCGAGCACCCCGCCAGGCGGCCCGTCCTCGTGCTGGGCTCCATCCCCGCCGCCTCCACGACCACCACCACCACGGCCGCGCCCGTCACGGAAGACAATGCCAGCGAAGGTGATTTCCTCCGGCGAATTTAATTAATGTAAGGTCTGCGGGCGAGAGGAGGCCGCAGTCAGTCTTCATTACTATTTTTCCGAGGCAAGGGCAAGGCCGGCAAGGCACGGCGCAAATGGTGCACGAAGTCGGGGCAGTGCGCTCCAGAGCGCTGCGCGCTGCCGTCGGCTGCGCCAGCGTAACTCACGGACATTTCGTTTTACAGTTAATATCTCGTAAACAGAGCGGGAAAAGGCGAAGCGCGTTTCGCCGAGGGCAACAACGGTCTGACATCACCTCACCGCGGGTTCGGGACTCGGGACTCGGCCTTCGAGGCGCCGCGAATGCGGCTCTAGGCAGTCCCGGCGGCAGCGCCGTCGGCCGCACTGCCTACCCGCAAGGCGCCCCGAACAGCGCTTCGTCGCTCTGTCTCTCTCGCACCCCTCAGGACGGAGGACGCCCCACGAGTGCGAGGGAGAGGGGGAGCAAGCGACGAAAGCGCTGTCTGGATTCAAGCTGCAACTCTCATCCCGAGTTCCGAACTCCGCTCGGAGCAACGCACAGTGGGCCAGAAGACCTGTGGGGGCGGCCAAAACTCTAGACGCGTTTTGAGCTCCAGAGTCGTTAAATGGGACTCGAACCGAACGTGTGACCCCACCAATGGATTCCTCGTTCGGACAGCAATCCATTGGTGGGGTCACGCGGTCGGCTCGAGCACCATTTAGCGACTCTGGAGCTCAAAACGCGTCTAGAGTTTTGGCCGCCTCCACCGGTCTTCTGGCCCACTGTGCAACGCCGCCCATGGCGCAGCCCTTGACCGGACCCTCTTTGCTCTGCTTCCAGAAAACGAGGACGGCCGCCACGACCGCGACGGCAACGAGCTTCGCCGCCAGCTGCAGCCGCTGCCGCCACTGCCGCCGCTGCAGGGCGTCCGCGGGGACGGCGTCGGCGGCCTCGGCGGCCACGGCGTCGGCCAGGCGGCCGGGGACCGCGACATTGACCCGCTGGGGCTGTCGGGGCTGTCCCCCGGCGCGGGCCAGCTCCTCCGCCTGCTGGCCGGGCCGGCGGGGGTGGGCCGTGGCGACCAGGGCGACGTCTACACGGGGGCGGCCACGGGCGCGGCGCTCGGCCTGCACAGCCTCCACAACGCCCCCCACTACTCGGGCGTGCTGCGCCAGGGCCCGCGCGCGCTGCAGCAGCAACTCCTGCAGCAGCACATACTCGGTGACCTCGACCTTTCGCCCCGGCCGCGGCACCCGCCGCACCCGCAGCAGCACCAGGTGGGTCGTGTGTCGGAGTGGAGGCAGTGGAGGCAGTGGAGGGGCCCCGAGGGGTGGCTGGGCTGCTGGTCCAGCCCGCCCAGCTGCAGCCAGAGCTCTTTTCCTCTCTCTTTCTATCTTTCTCGTTCTCCTTTCACTCTCTTTTTCTCTCTACAACTCCGTCCCCTTCCGTGCGGCGTGCGGCTGGCTCCGGAGAGTGGCTCGAAATAAATTTGGCTATAACAGGTGGAGCGGAAGCCTTGTGGGAACGGCAAGCCGGGCGACGCCGCGCACGGTGCGGCGGTACCGCTTGCAGTGGAGGTGCAACACGGGCCGGGCACAGTGGGCCAGAAGACCGGTGGAGGCGGCCAAAACTCTAGACGCGTTTTGAGCTCCAGAGTCGCTAAATGGGACTCGAACCGAACGTGTGACCCCACCAATGGATTCCTCGTTCGGAGAGCAGTCCATTGGTGGGGTCACACGGTCGGCTAGAGCACCATTTAGCGACTCTGGAGCTCAAAACGCGTCTAGAGTTTTGGCCGCCTCCACCGGTCTTCTGGCCCACTGTGCCGGGTAGCCGGGGTAGGCTAGAGCCCTAGGCGGGCCGGGTAGGTTAGGATAGGCTGGCTGCACGCGCGGAGTCTCTTTCACCTTCACCCGCGTCCCTTCAGCCCCCCGTGAGGGCCGTGAGGGTCTACACGTCCCTGCGGACGGAGACCGGAAAGTGCGCACTCATCCGACATCAAACGATTAACTGCACTTCCCTCCCTCCTTCCCTTCGCCGCGAGGCACGTGGCGTAGATTAATTTTCCGAGAAACGCGCGCTTTCCTGAGTTTTCCGCTCTGGTTGTCCGAAAGCCGATTTCAGGACGGCCGAGCCCTGACAGCCCTGGCGGCCCCGGCAGCCCTGGCCAGACCGTCACACTGTATAATCGATGGGCATTGCCGGGCGGGCCTGTGGCGGGCCGTCAGTGCCGTCAGCCTCGCCGTCAGCAGCCCGACCCTGCGACCTTCCCTCTGCTTCCCTTCGCTGCCACTGCAGCGGCTGCAGGTACAAAGCCTCAAATTGGGGCTGCATATAATGTGGACCACACGGGCGGGGCTGGGAAGGGGTGGGGGGGTGGGGGGGAAGGCCAGGGAAAGGAGACCCGCAAACAAAAGTCCCGCCAGAATGCGGCATTGTCCGTTCCCGCTCCGCCGCTCCGCTGCTCCGCCACTGTCGCTGACTGCCAAACAATACATGCGAATCGTTTGGCCTAACTTCGGGGACTGTAATGGGCCGGGCAGGGCCGGGCCCCGCTGTGTTGCGCCGCGCGTGCACGGCATCGCTCTGTCTCTCTCCCACCTAGAACGGCCCGCATGAGCGCTCCAGTGCGGGAGAGAGACAGAGCGAGGGGCAGGGCGACGAAATGGCGATGAAGCGGATTGCGTCAGGCATTCGCTTGGCGCTTTTCAGGAAAGGGCAGGGGCCGTCTGGATGACAGGTTACATTCGGGATGAGGGCCGCTCCGCGCTCCGCTCGCATGGCCCACTGTGTGCTGCCTGCAATGCAAAAGGACGCGCAAAAACGAGGGCATATTGCTCCGGCCCGGCGTTGAACCTTGAACTTCCAAACTTCCAACCGACCGAGCCGCTGGCACTGCGGCTGCATGCAGGGATGCTCTGGGAATGCGCTTTTCACGGCCGAGGGCGCCGCAGTTCACGCTCTAGTGCGTGCTCTACTACAACCACTGCAGCGTGGCGCTTCGGTGCTGTCGATATTCGACGGGTTGGCACCTGGCTGGCGGCGGCGGGGCGGGGCGGGGCGGGGCGGAGCGGGGCAGGGCGGGGCGGGGCAGGGCGGGGCGTCGGCATCCCCTTGCATGATTCAAGCTGTAATTGCATTGTCTTGGCGCGCGGATCGTCCGGGGAGCAGTTAGCGGGCTGATGATCTCGATCGGGGCGTGCTGCAGCTTGTTGGACGGACAGGGACTGTACTCACCGGGCCTGCCGCCCGGCGTGCTGCCTGCAGGGGCTGAACAGTGTGCCGACCAGGGCAGGAGGGGTATATTGGCTGCGGGCTTTATCGCGTCGTGTTCCCAATTTCAACAAAATGGCAATCTCGATGCGCGGATAGCGGAGAGCAGCGGAGAGCTTGTCGGGCGGCGAGGTCGGCCGGCCGGCCCACCGCGCACCGCCATGGCACCGCGCGGCACCGCCACCGGACTGGGGCAGAGGGCAGTGGGGTGGCGGGGAGGCGCACACCGCGCACAGTGGGCCAGAAGACCGGTGGAGGCGGCCCAAATCCCGGACAGGCCTTGAGCTCCAGGGTCGCTAAATAGGACTCGAACCGAACGTGTGACCCCACCAATGGATTGCTCTTCGAACGAGGAATCCATTGGCGGGGTCACACGCTTGGTTCGCGACGTGTTTAGCAACTCTGGAGCTCAAAACGCGTCTAGAGTTTTGGCCGCCACTGGCCCACTGTGAAACGGAGCGACGAAACGAATGCTCGGAATCAATCTGCTGCCCGACGCAGGGGGTAGAGAGAGAGAGAGAGAGAGAGAGGCGCGGTCGGGTGTTTCGAACCCGCGACCCTCGGTGACGGCTTCGAGTTGGCAAGTTCAAGTTTGTGGTGCCGGCGACGGTCCGCCCTGGACTCGCATTGCTAGACAGAGACAGAGAGAGGGCAGCGAGCCGTGAAGCAAAGTCATGGCCTCGATGCAGTATTCAGTGTTCAGTGTTCACTGCCTCACCTGCCTGCCTGCGTGCAGCACGAGTTAGACTATCCCGGTGCACGCAGAATGGCTCGACCACTTACCACCCCAGCGGACCTACCCCGCCCCGCCCCGCCCCCGCCCCGCCCCGCCCCGCCCCGCCCCGCCCCGCCCCGCCCCGCCCCGCCCCGCTTCGTGGAAAAGGGAATATAAAGGGGTCCACAGTGCTGCGCTTGCTGCGCTGCGGGGCGGGACAGCTCGCCGCAATCAAAGACAGGGATTCCAACCCAAACCCACCTCTCAAGTTGAACAGGAAAAACGAAGAGTCCTGTGTTGTTTGTTGTTTATGTTTTTTTTTCTGCCAGGCGTGCCGCAGTGGCCGCATTGGCAGCGGCTCTCTCTCTCTCTCTCTCTCTCTCTCTCTCTCTCTCTCTCTCTCTCTCTCTCTCTCTCTCTCTCTCTCTCTCTCTCTCTCTCTCTCTCTCTCTCTCTCTCTCTCTCTCTCTCTCTCTCTCTCTCGCGGGTTTACCGACACCGACCGTCATTTTGGGGGATTTCGTCCCCGGCCGGATTGACCTAGCAGCCTAGCAGCGGACCATAGACAAGGCAGACTGATTCCGAGAGTCGCTCTGTCTCTCTCGCTCTCGTGTTGCGTCGTGTGTAGGGGCGAGAGAGACAGCGCGACGAAAACGACTCTCGGAATCAGCCTGCAGCCTGGCCCGGGCTCTCGTTGTCCTCAACGCGGAGCCGCAGAGACGGTGCAGCGCCGCGGTGGTCTTTCCCGCGCCCAGTTGATTTCTCCCACGCCCCGCCCCGCCCCGCCCCGCCCCGCCCCGCCCCGCCGCGCCGCGCACCGCACCGCAAGCCTATTGTTTGGTGATCCCGTGACCTCCGCCAAGAACGCCGCCAGCCTCCCTGGTCCCGCGGTGCGCGCGGTCGGGCGCGGTGCGACGCGGACTGGCCAGGCGGTCGGTCGGACAGACGTAAGGTGACGTCATCACCCGGCCGCGGTGACTCCACGACTCGGCGGCGACTCGGTGCACATAGTGCCCATTCACGTCGCCGGGAACCAGGGCGGCGATTAGCATAGCCGGCATAGCGCGCGGGGAAGCAGCCAACGTCGCCGGCAAGCAACGCCAACGGCCCGACGCCTCGCGCCCCCTGCCCCGCCCGGCGTCGCAGGCTGAGTTTGGTTAATTTAAAAGTCAATGCCAGTAGTGGACTAAAGGCAGCCGGCCGGAGGGTTTTACTCCGAGTCGCGTAATTAGTGTCGAAATGAGAGGTTGAAGAAGTAGGAGAGGGAGGGAGACGGAGGTAGAGAGGGAGAGAGAGAGAGAGAGAGAGAGAGAGAGAGAGAGAGAGAGAGAGAGAGAGAGAGAGAGAGAGAGAGAGAGCAAATAAAAAGGCGGGAAAATGGAAGACGGCGACGGGGTGTTTAAAAATGCGGGTCGAAATGCGGGTCCGGACTCATTTTTGGTCGCTCAGGTTATGCAGACAGGTGCGTGCCGAGTCTAGCCTGGTGTGTGCCTTAGGATGAATATTGCCCCCCCTCCCCTTCCCCCTCGCGGCCTCCCACTCATGAACGAGTCCTTCGTGGAGCGGTCAGATTGTGCACGGAGCCGGGCGGGCCGGGGGGGATCGTAAAATAGTCCAAACCTCGCGGACCATCCTGCTTTGGCTTTACTGCTCGTTAAAAGCGCCCGCGCGCCCGGATGGCTCCCTGGCCAGCTCGGCCGGCCGCGGCGAAACCGAAACTCGAGTCTGTTATTCACGACCTTCTCGCGTTGTTGTTTCCAAGTGTCGGACACAGCGGCTTGCCCCTTCATTTTTCTTTTCATTAAAGGAGTGAGCGAATGCCCGACCTGCAGTGGCGCGCCACGGCGGGGCCTGGTTCATTACCCAGCCGGGTTCGAGCCTTCTCATTAAAACCTCGCTGCTTGCGTCTTGTTGCAGCAGGGCTACGTCGACGACTACTACAGCGCGGCCGTGCCGGTGACGCCGGCCGCGGACCAGGCGACGCGCGCCGCCACGCCCACCGCGGCGCCGCCGCTGCCGCCGCTGCAGCTGGAGCCCGCCGTGGCCATGGCGCTGGAGCAGTTCCTCGTGTCCAGGGGCATCCGGCTGCGGCCCTACCGGCCGCCCTACGCGCCCTACCGCCCGCCCTACCGCCAGCCCTACTACGACGAGGACCCCTACGGCTACGACCCCTACCTCATGCGGCCCTACCCCATGATGCCCTACGCCCCGCGCGGCTACCCCTACGACCCGTACCAGCAGCCCTACCACCCCCGCGGCTACCCCTACGACCCGTACCAGCAGCCCTACCCGCAGCCCTACCCGTACCCGCAGCAGCCGGTGCAGCAGCAGCCGCTGTTCGTGCCGCTGCGGCAGGCCGGCCAGCCCGTCCCTCGGCGCAACGGCGCGGCCGACCAGCCCGACGCCCAGTACGCGCAGTACGACCCGCGGCAGGAGCTGCTGCTCAGGATGCTGCTGGGCAGGGCGCAGGGCGCGCAGGCCGCGCAGGCCGCGCAAGTCGCGCAGGAGCAGGTCAGTGCGCAACCCGCAGACCGATTCCGAGAGTCGCGTTCGTCGCGCTGGCCCTCTCGCACCTTCACGGAACGCCCCGTGAGTGCGAGAGAGAGAGAGACAGAGCGACGAAAACGGCTTTCGCAGTGCCGGTAACCGACACGGTAACCCGGTCACGCTTCCACTTGTTTTTCCTCTGCCGCGTGGCGGTCATACATATTGGAGTAAGTGACGCGAGCTCATTATTTCATGTTGCCTCGCAGGGCCTGCAGGGTCTCCAGGGCCTGCAGGGCGTGCAGGGCGTCCAGGGCGTCGCGCGCGTGCTGCCGCCCAGGGAGCGGCTGGCCGGGGGGACCGCCGCCGTGCAGCAGCTGCAGGCACTCCAGGCGCACCAGCAGGCGCAGCTCCTCGAGCAGCAGCAGCAACTGCAGCAACAAGAGCTGCGGCAGCAGCGCCTGCAGCACCAAGACTTCCGCCAGGAGCGGCCGGAGCTCCGCCAGGAACGCCAGCTCACGGCGGCCACCACGCTGGCGCCCGTCTCCACCTCCGCCCGGGTCCGCAGCGTCAAGATCCTGGACCCGGAGGCGGAGGGCAGCGAGAACCACAGCGCCAGCACGGCCAGCGCCTCCAGCACCGCGCGCCCGGAGTAGGACGAGTAGAACCAGCGCCTGCACTGCCTATGGCGCGTTTTTCCAAAGAGCGGAGCGCACAGCGCGTGACTCCAAAGATATCCCTCCCGGCCTGCTGTGCAAATGCGGTGACGTCACGCTCGGGCCGTAAACGTGTTCTAAACCCACGGCCGGAGCGTGAGAGAGTGCTCGAGAGAACTCGGCGAGCGTGCATGTGTGAGTGTTTGTGTGTGACTGCGGTGCGTGAACGTGTGTGAGAATGGGGTACCGGCGGGCCGGCAGGGCAGGCCGAGAGTGGATTAAAAGCGGTGCCCATTCTTCGTGCCGGCGATACTCCCCGCCAACAGGCCGGGCCGCGCGCGCGGAGTCTCGCCGCACGCCGCAATGGTCGCACCAACCCGGGCGGGTACGTGCCCTAGTCCTCATTGCATCAATGAGATTGTGATTTTCTGTTTACCTGTCCCGCCGCGAAACCACATTAGCTAATGCATCTCCATTCGTCTGTTTTTCATTTTGTGTCATTTTTCATACGATTTGCCTTGAGTTTATACGACTAAGGGGGTGTCCGTTAGTGTGTGCGTCCGTGTGTGTCACGGACGAGTCGACGCACGTGGTGATTTTGACCGGCTGGGCCAGATCAAGTCACGGGAGCGGATCTCCTGAACGGAGTCCAGGAGTCCTGCAGTGGCGTCGACCACCATTGGAAGAGCACATTTGCGAAGAAATATCATCATCACATCATCGTCAACAAAACAACATCCTTCGATATTTATAAGTTTATTTTTGTACATCAATTTGTAATTTTTAATAAACATTTTAAGAAAAAAAAAAATACAGTTTAATAACTGGTATAAGCAAAAACGAAAACAAACAAACAAAAAAACACATAGAAAAAGGAAAACACGCGAGACAATACTTTGGTTTCACTCGGCGCGCGCGGCACACAAACTTGAACAAAGGGGGGCTAATTATTAAAAGGCTGGAGCGAGGCTTATTAAAGCATCTTGGCGGCCACAGGAGGGGAAGGAGAGGGGGGCGATGAAAATGGGAGCGTTTGGGCCCCGGCGCACATGGGTCGAACCAAACGTGTGACATCAAAATCCCGGACGGGGTTTTGGGGCCCTCCTTTGAGCCCGCTAAAGGGACTCTAACCAAACGTGTAAAACCACAATGGTCCCCCTCTCTGGACGAGGAATCCCCATTGGTGGGGCACTTTCCGTTTGGCCCGGGGCGACCAGTGCCGACGGGGCCCGTTTGCCCCCTCCGGCGGTCTTCGGGGGCCCCCATGTGCGGTGGCCGTGTGGGTTTCACATGGACACGGCGGCGCTGTCGTTTTGGGCTCGGCGGGGGCGTGGCCGCGGTGGCCGTGTCGAGGGCATCGGAGTGGCGGCGACTGTCTTTTTCGAACTGGGGGCTGCGCTGTGAGCTGTCGTCGCGCTGCTCTCCTCTCCTCTCTCTCCTCTCCTCTCTCCCTCTCTCTCTCTCTCTCTCTCTCCCTCTCTCCTCTCTCTCTCTCTCTCTCTCTCTCTCTCTCTCTCTCTCTCTCTCTCTCCGCGGCTCGTAGCACAATGTCGGTGGCGCTGACTGCCGCATGGCCGGGCCGCCTCCTCACACGTCTGGAAAAGCAGAAACAAAACAACTGGGTATGGCAACAATGGCGCGCAACATGTGCGTGAGTGTGTGTGTGTACGTGTGTGTGCTATGGCCGCTATGGCTCGGCTGGTGGTACATTGGGACCAGGCAGGCAGTGGCGTAGCGCGTGCGCCGGTGCATTTTTAATATCGGCGCGCGGGGCCTCGGTTCTTCTGGGCGAGGCTGTGGCGGCGCGGCGCACAGTGGGCCAGAAGACCGGTGGAGGCGGCCAAAACTCTAGACGCGTTTTGTGCTCCAGAGGCGCTAAGCAGGACTCGAACCGAACGTGTGACCCCACCAATGGATTGCTCTCCGAACGTGGAATCCATTGGTGGGGTCACACGTTCGGTTCGAGTCCTGTGAAGCGACTCTGGAGCTCAAAACGCGTCTAGAGTATTGGCCGCCTCCACCAGTCTTCTGGCCCACTGTGCGCACTCACGGGCCCTCCAGACCGTTTCCACGGGGCGAGAATTGGCATAAATACCGGCAAAATCGGGCCCAGACCATCAAGTCGACGGGGGGCTTTCATTTGATGGAAATGTGACCGGGGCCGGCAGGCCGGCAGGCACCGCCTCCCCCCTCCCTTTTTCCACCTGCCCTTCCTCGCGGCCCTGCCGGCCCTGTCAAAGCGACCAGATGCAGCTCCATTATTCAAAGGGCAAAGGGCCTTTACTCCACTCACCCGACAGCGTGCCCGGCCGACACACTTCGTACTTGGCCGAAAAGTTGGTGCCCTCGAGCGAAGTCTCGCAGGAGAATCCGCCGTTGTAGTGGATCATGGCGTAGTCGTCGCAGTTGGTGACGCCGTCCCGGTTGCAGTCCTGCGCGGAAAGGCGTCAACACTTCAGCAGACTCATTCCGAGAGTCGCTCTCGTCGCTCTGTCTCTCTCGCACTCACGGGGCGTCCCGTGTGGGTGCGAGAGAGACAGAGCGATGCGGGGAGTGCACTCACCCGGCCGAAGCGCGCCATGTAGTTGGTGACGATGGAGGCGGCGCAGTTGTACTCCTTGGCGCAGTCCTGGTACGCTGCAACAAAGGCTCACACCTCAGCGACTCCGCGCTGCCGAGCCACTCCGTCTCTGTCGCACTCACGGGACTCTCCGGCAGGGTGCGAGAGAGACGGCGCGTCCGCGTGCCGGCGACTTGAGGCGACATGGGGGCGGTGCACAGTGGGCCAGAAGACCGGTGGAGGCGGGCTAAACCTCTAGACGCGTTTTGGGCTCCAGAGTCGCTTATTAGGACTCGAACCGAACGTGTGACCCCACCAATGGATAGCTCTCCGAACGGTGAATCCATTGGTGGGGTCACACGTTCAGTTGGTGTCCCATTTAGCGACTCTGGGTGCTCAAAACGCGTTTCGAATTTTGGCCGCTCCACCGGTCTTCTGTCCCACTGTGCGCCGCCCGCACAGACAGCAGACTGATTCCGACAGTCGTTTCCGTCGCTCTGTCTCTCTCGCACCCACACGGGACGCTCCATGAGTGCGAGAGAGACAGAGCCTCGGAATGAGTCTGCAGCGCCGCAGCGCACCGCAGCTTACCGCCCGCGCGCTCGGGGTCGTCCTCGGGGAAGACGGGCTTGCCCGCGTCCGCCCAGTACACCCTGGAGATGTAGAAGGGCCCGCAGTAGCCCTTGGAGCAGGCCAGCGTGGCGTTGCAGCCCGTGATGGCGAAGCAGAGGCAGCGCAGGCACGCCGCGTTCAGGTTGGACACGAACACGCCTGCAGCACACACACAGTGTCACCGATCTGATAACTTGTCCCTCGGCTAGGGCAGGCTGCCCTGCAGACTGATTCCGAGAGTCGTTTTCGTCGCTCTGTCTCTCTCGCACCCACACGGGGCGCGCCATGAGTGCGAGAGAGACGGGGCGAGGCGGCAAGGCTCCGTCCGAGACGAATAATTAAATCAGGATAATGGGATAGGGAGTGGCGCGGGGGCTTTGCCAGCCAGGCTTGGCTAGCCTCGCACCAGCCTTCGCGTGTTAAGGGAGCTTTTTTTCAGGCGGAGTGCACCGGCCTCGCGCCTCGCACTCAGGGACTCAAGGTGGAGGTCATTAAACCACCGACGGACAAAGTCCTCGACTTGAGCGACGCGTTTCCTCGCGTTTCGTACCGTGTATCGCGTCTCCCGCAGTGTGGCAGACACTGTCTGTCTCTCTCTTGCTTTCCCCGCAGCGGGACCGTCTCTCATCATCAACGGCGAGGGCCGGAGGACCGGCGGCAGGGCGGGCAGCAGGGCCGGCAGCAGGGCCGGCAGCAGACTGATTCCGAGAGTCGTTTACGTCGCTCCGTCTCCCTCGCACTCATGGGGCGCCCCGTATAGGCGCGAGAGAGACAGAGCGACGAAAACGACTCTCGGAATGAGTCTGCAGGGCCGGCAGGGCCTCTGCCCGTCGGTGGCGCGTGCAGGGCCCAGCCCGGCCTGTCCGCGCGGCCCGTCGAGGCCGGCCGGCCGCGACCGCCCCTGCTCGTACTTCCCTAGATTGGAAACAGCCCTTCTATGCAGCGTCCCGGGCCAGGCCGGAAGGGCACAAGGGCAGAGAGGGGGGGGGGGAGGGGCGGAAGGGACGATGCTACACTGACCAGGCCGGGCAATCCCAGATGAGGCGTTGCGCGACCCCCAGCCCTCCCTCCAGTCCCCCGGCAGACTGATACCGAGAGTCGTTTTCGTCACTCTGTCTCTCTCGCACCCGTACGGGACGCCCCAGGAGTGCGAGAGAGACAGAGCGACGACTCTCGGAATGAGTCTGCAGGCCAGAACTGGCAGCGCGCCTGCCGGCTAGGCCACCCCTTTGACGCGCCGTTCGCGCTCGACGAACCAAAGTTTTAAAACTTTTAACAATTAACGGGAAGCAGGAACAGGAGGGAAGGCGCGCCCACCCAACTGCCCCCCCCCCCTGATGAGAGCGCGACCATTTTCGAATTCCGGTCTCAAATTCCCGGAAAGCGGATTAGAAAAAATGTAAAAACTTGTGAAAAAGTGGCGGGTTGAACCCTTAACTTTTCCGTGGGTGATCGTCATCCCGTCCCTGACCACGCAGCCCCACCATCGCACAGAGTGGCGGCTTCGGACGCGCAGCAAACTCAAAATTGCGAGAGCTTTTATCCGAAAAACAAAAAAACCTAACCGCTCCATCCGAATTAATTAAATGGCATGCAACCTGTCATCACCGACCGGGCGTGGAGTGAAATAAAAACAACAATAAGAAACAAAACAAAAACCGAAGCAGAAAGTGCTCATGTCGCGTCGGCCGGACAATTAAGCGCACTATCGGCACGCCATTACCGCTCGACGTCGATAACTGTCCATCAAGACAAAAGTGTGATGACAAACGAACAACGGTCCGAGGGACGAAAACGAAAACAAAAACAACACGAGACAGTGAGGAAGGAAAAAAGAAGTGTTGGTTTTGAAACTTGGCCGTCATTCCACGACCGTCGTTGCACGCGCGCGCGGTTCACGCGATGCACACGCGGTGCGCGCCGGACAACGACCAGCAGTGAGGTAACGAGAGAGAAGAGGGAGAAGCAGCAGCAACAGCAACAACAACAGCAACAACAACAGCAACGTACCGTACGCCACGGCGGAGAAGCAGAGCAGGCAGAGCAGCAGCGGCAAGGTTAGGGCCGCCCTCGCCATGTTGGCCATGTTGCCGGTCACCACAGGGGCCTCAGTGGCGGCGACTGGCCGGGCGCTGACGCTGCTGGCGCTTCTTCTCGGCGTTCTCGGCCTCGTCGGGGCGGCCGGGGCTGGGGCAGGCTGGGGCTCATCGGCACGGCGGGGAGGCCGGCGACCAGCGGGGCGGCAGCCGCGGCAGCGCGTCGACGCGGGGCAGCGGGGCCTGCGCGGCGTGTGGTGGCGTGGCGGCGGTCGAGGGCCGCGACGCGACGGGCCATGCCATGGACGGGCGACGAGCCGGTCGGGGCAGACTCGCAAACACGGAGATAAAGAGAAGAGGCTCATCGACATGCCGCCCCGCCCCGCCCCGCCGCGCCCCGCCCCGCCCCGCCGCGCCCCGCCGCGCCCCGCCGCGCCCCGCCGCGCCCCGCCCCGCCCCGCCCCCGCCGCGGCTAGTCCGGACCTGGAGGCGGTGGCGGGCGGCGGGGCGCGGCGGGGCGCGGGGGCGGGCTGACCGGCGGCCCGGCGAGACTCCGCGACTCTGACCTCGAGCACGTCGAGTCGCCGCCGTGCCTCGCTGTGTCTCGCCGTGCCGCGCTGTGCCTCGCTGTGTCGCGCTCGCCACTGCAGCTGTTGGCGTGGTTGTTGGCGGCTGCGGTGCTGCGGTGCGTTGAAGTGACACCGCTCCGGCCCGCGACCGCACCGCCGGCACCGCCCACGTCAGGCTCGACCTGCGTCTCGTCGCTCCGTCCCTCTCGCCGTCTCTCTCGCACCCCTGCAGGCCGTGCGGGACGCCCCACGAGTGCGAGAGGGACATACAGGACGGACTCTCCCGCTTGCTTCGCTTGCTTCACGCCTCCGGGACGAGTAATAATTGAAACTCCAGTCGCTCGCTGCACGGCGCGGTGCACTGCGTGACGTCGTGTCTACTGCCGCGCTGGTCTGAGAGAGAGAGAGAGAGAGAGAGAGAGAGAGAGAGAGAGAGAGAGAGAGAGAGAGAGAGAGAGAGAGAGAGAGAGAGAGAGAGAGAGAGAGAGAGAGAGAGAGAGAGAGAGAGAGAGAGAGAGAGAGAGAGGCTCGTTGATGAAGGCGACCTGGGCCCAGGAATGGCGGCGGGTCCGCGTGCCGCTGCCCTTGATCTTGGTGCTGGCCTTGCCCTTGCTCTTGCTTCGCCTGCTCGGCGCTTGGCGCTTGGCGCTTCGCCCCGCGTTGTCCCCGTGTCCCACGCAATTCGCAAAGTGCAGCCCGCCCCGCTGCCCCGCCGGCCCGCCGGCCTAGATCCGCCACTCCCGGACGCTTATTCCTTGGCGGAGCGACGCCGCTTTTGGACACGCGGCGCGCCGGAACGGCCGAGACAGCCCTGGATCGGGGGGATGGGGGCGGGGCCGGAGAGTGGAACGGCGCGTGTGTGACACACGCTCTCTCTCTCTCTCTCTCTCTCTCTCTCTCTGTCTCTCTCTGTCTCTCTCTCTGTCTCTCTCTCTCCCTCTCCCTCAGACACACACATTCACAGAGAGGCACAGACACGTCCAACCACCAACAGACATACGCCCTCACATATTACCGGAGCCCTAGATCCGTTTTCCGGTGTGCCACCGGCCTGGATAATTGAGGAGCCGAGGCTGGAGCTGCTTCTGCTGGAAGACGGGCAGTGACGTCACACGGAGTGAGACAGAGAGAGAGAGAGAGAGAGAGAGAGAGAGAGAGAGAGAGAGAGAGAGAGAGAGAGAGAGACGGCGATGCCGGCGATGCCGCGGCCGGGGAATGGCACACAAATGGACCAGGGAAGCCCGGCGGTCGGCGTGACGCGGCGTGACGTCACTCTCGTCGGCCAGCCGGACAGGCCGGACGGCTGTCACCGCTCCAGCACGCTCCAGCGAAGGCGGGGCGGGGCGGGGCGGGGCGGGGCGGGGCGGGCTCATGTGGCGTGCGCCATTAGCAGCCAGACTGCCGGCCAGGGAGGTGTGACCGCACTGCCGCGACGCTGCGAGGGCGTGGCCCCGCGGCCCACGGCGGCATGGTGTGCGCTTCATGCCCCGGGCCAACAGCAGCAGCAACAACAACAACAACAACGACAACAACAACAACAACAACAACGACAACAACAACAACAACAGCGCCGTAAATCCGTGAATCCGCCAGCCTGCTCTCGAATTTAAGGAAATGGGCCTACCAGGTGCCTTGCGACCGCACGGGGCCGGCCCTCGGGGACCTCTCATAAACTGAGTTTATTTAAACAGCATTGCCCCCCTCCGCCCCTCCCACGTCCCCTTCCTCCTCCCTTCATACCTACCTCTAGCTATATTCTGTTCAGTTCCACTCACAGCGAACAAAGCCACCCCTGAAAAAAAATATGGGGAACATGGAGATTCGAACTTCGAACCTGAGCGTTAGAAACGAACCCCTGAGACCACTCGGCCACGGTGACATGAGTTTCCTGCGTACTGGCGCGCGTGGCGGCCGGGGCACGCCGCTGGGGTCGCGACCGTCAAGGCCGTCAAGGCCACGAGCGCGAGGCAGAGCGCGCGTCTCCTTTTATTTATGCTTATGCAAATTGCAACTTTTTTAAAGACTAATCTATGGCAGTATAAATATATATGTGATGGCGGCGGCGCGGCCCGCTGCTGTGTCGCTGACTTCTTGTCGCCAGAAATAAGGCGGAGGGGAGGAGGGGGGAGGGGGAGGGGGAGGGGGGGTAATATACTGCAAATGGCCCCAGTCGAAGCAGCGCATCACGTTATAGGCTTTATAGGGGATTCATCGTGGCTGGGCGGGGCACCGCCTTGGGTCCTGCAGCAGGCAGTCTGTTCACACGTGAGCGTGTGTGTGTATATGTGTGCGTGTGTGTGTGCGTGTGTGTGTGTGCGTGTGTGTGTGCGTGCGTGTGTCTGGCTGTCTTCTGGCACGCTCGTGTGCGTCTGCAGTTTGTTCTGCGAAGCGTGGCCAAGAACAGGTCCTTCTTGGTCGGGCGAGCCGCCCCGAGGGGGCCCACAGGGCAGCCCAGGGGCCCAGGGGCCAGGGGGGAGTCCCATAAGGAGCCCCTAAGAGACTTCCATGCCTCCACGGCGCCCGAAGGAGGCCCTTGGAGCACCAACGGGGTGAGACGATGCGTTCGTTACGATGAGAGTTTTGAGGGGAAATGTCGTGAGCCACACGAAAAAGGACGTTCAGGAATTTCAGAAACAAACAAAGAAAACGGATTTTAAAATAAATTAAAATATTGTTTTTGGATTGATTTATTTCAAGTTGAGAAGTCGTAGAAAAAGTTCGATGGTTGCTGTCTTGTTGGGCAGTTTCATGGAGCAAAGTCATTCCTTCCTCTATGGTCTAGAGTCTGCGACGGTGTACAATGGTCTTCCTCTTGTCCGCGAGGCCAGCACTCGGCCTTTTGACGTATTACCTTTCGACGTTTTATCTGCGCAACTTGTCCGACAAACGCGGCCTGCCTGCTGTTTTTTCTTCAATAAATAAAGCGAGTCAACATTTCTGTTGGCCGCTCCGAGCGCACCCCGCGGACGGAGCGGCGGGGCGAGCACTTCGAGCGAACCCTGTTTGGCCTTGGTTGACCCTGGTTGACCCCGGTTGACCCCGGTTGACCCCGATTGACCCTGGTTGACCCTGGTTGACCCTAGTTGACCTGGCCGCCGTTGAGTTTGGACACCTGCACCATGCAGTTGTGGAACTTGTCCCGGAACGCCTGGTCCAGGTTGGCGCGGCAGCCGTAGCCGCCAAGCCGATGCAGCGCGGCGTAGTCGTAGCAGTCGACCGTGCTGTCGCCGTTGCAGTCCTGGAACGGCAGGGAAGGGCACACCGTCAAAACCACAAACAACCAAGTCAATAAAAAAAAAGAGGTTTTCCTCGCGGCTAGTAGACTAGCGTTTTTCAATCTTTTCTGTCTCGCGATCCACAAAAGGCGGTTCAAACTTATCGCGACAACCACAGCCGAAATTAAGTCCCCACAAGAAGAAAAGGCTCTTGACCTGAAGAATTTCTCTTGGCCTGGTGAAATGCCCTTGGCCTGGTGAAATGCCCTTGGCCTAGTGAAATGCCGAGAAATGCTCCTGGGTTGGGAAATGCTTTTGGCCTGGAGAAATGCTCTTAGCCTGGGGAACTGCTCTTGGCCTGGAGAAATGGCTTGGCCTGGTGAAATGCTCTTTGCCCGTGGGGAAATGCTCTTGGCCTGGAGAAATGCTTTGGCCTGGTGAAATGCTCTTTGCCCGTGGGGAAATGCTCTTGGCCTGGTGAAATGCCGAAGAACGCTCTCGGCCTGCGGAAATGCCCTTGGCCTGAAGACACCTGCAGAAACTAGACTTTGGCTGTCCACGCGGCCGGCCTGCTTGCCGGCCTGCTTGACGTGCCCCAGGCCGAGTGCCCTTCAAAGGTCAGGCCGCCCTCGGCGTCCAGGCCGTCCCGGACGGCATGGGACACGAGACAGAGACGAGGCCTCTGGAGCGTGAAGCTGTGTCCTGCCCAACAAGAAGGACCTCCACCCAGACCCTTCCAGCGCCTCCTCCACATCCCTGGTCCGCCCCTCCCCCTCCCACCCCTCCCGCTCGACTCCGCTTTTAAATGGGTGCTTCTCTTTCGTCGGGGAGCAGCAGACTGAATCCGAGAGTCTCGCTCTGTCCCGCTCGCTCCTACACGGGACGACCCATGAGTGCGAGAGAGACAGAGCGACGAGAGCGACTCTTCGTGTCATGCCGAATGTTGTGGAACACGACCGCGCACAAGTTGGGACAGAAATCGCAACTTGGAGAAAGCAAACTCACCTGGGCGTATTTGGCCATGTAGCCCTGGACGGCGCGGGCGGCACAGTAGGGTTCGTTGGCACAGCGCGCGTACGCTGCGAACACACAGACACCTTTACTAACAGCCAGAGCTTGTAAAGGCAGAACAAGCGGGAGCTACTCGCAAAAAAGGGACCGCTTTCTCTGGCCGTCAAATTGCTACTGGCTCAGCAGCCCTGCAGGCTGATTCCGAAAGTCGCTTTCGTCGCTCTGTCTCTCTCGCACTCATGGGTCACTCCGCGCAGGTGCGAGAGAGACAGACAGAGCGACGAAAACGAGTCTCAGAATCGGCAGGACGTAATGACGGTCTGTTCGCCCTTTCTCTAATCACACGATAGAGGCGCACACTGCCAAAAAAGGCGATAAAGTGAAGATGAAAAGCGGCCGCACTCACCTCCCTCGTCCTCGGGCCTGTCCTGGGCCAGGGTGGGCTTGCCCGCGTCGGCCCAGTAGGGCCAGGTGATCCTGAACACGCCGCAGACGTCCCCGGTGCAGCTCAGGGACTGGTTGCAGTTGGACACGGCCTCGCAGATGCAGCCCAGGCAGATCTCGCTCACGGGGGGCGCGTACTGCTGCTGGCCTGCCGACGCGAAAACGCCATTAGTGTGGCATGGAGCTCGGCAGACTGATTCCGAGAGTCGTTTTCGTCGCTCTGTATCTTTCGCACTCAGATGGGCGCCCCGTATGGGTGCGAGAGAGACAGAGCGACGAAAACGACTCTCGGGATCAGACTGGGGATCGGGCGGGTCAATGGCCTGTCACAGACCGAGTCACGACTAGCCAGAAATGAAAAGAGGTAAAATTAGAACCGTTGGTTTTGCCAGGGGGTGACTACTTCACTCTTTTACGAATAGAAGGCCTCCCCTGTGCCCTGCCAATCGTAAGACCACTCTTTCATGCCCCGCCTCGGGCATGCCTTCACCACGAGTAGTTTGGGAGCACCAACCTCGCAAAGTTGGTCCAAGTGCCGGGCAATATCTGAACGTCCCATGATTTGCTGACCGCAGGCAGACACAGCGTCCCAGCTTATCTGTGGAGTCGCTTCTCGGAGCATTGACCAGACTCTCCTTGGCATCACAGGAGACTTGTACGGGGTGACGAAAGGAGCGCTAACGCCCGCGGAGTCTGCACCGCAAATCAACCTGAACTGCTTGTAGAAGTTGTTCCCTTTGGCAGGTCGCACAGCAGACTGATGCCGAGGGTCGTCTTCGTCGCTCTGCCTCTCTCACACCGGTACACGGCGCCCTGCGAGTGCGAGAGAGACAGAGCGACGAAAACGACTCTCGGAATCAGTCCGCCGGGCCCTCGGCGCCCTCGGGGCGACTCCTCAACTCCTCGTCCGAGTCCCCAGTGCCGTGCAACTTCTCGGCCGCACTTGCTGCGTTGGTCCGGATTTAATGTACTTAAGCAGCAAACGGACGGTGCTGCTTCAACCCCGCAACCCTCAACCCTCCCTCCCCGCCAGCTGGACAGGAAATTGCCATCAAAGTCATTCGCGGAGGTCGGCGCGGTGCGGTGGTGGTGCGAGACGACGACGAGGACGACGAGGACGACGAGGACGACGAGGACGACGAGGACGACGAGGACGACGAGGACGACGAGGACGACGAGGACGACGAGGACGACGAGGACGACGAGGACGACGAGGACGACGAGGGGGAACGAGAGGGCACCTCGCCGCCCCGGGTCGGCCCCGAGGGCGCGATGCGAGACTCTGATTCTGCAGCGTTTCTTTCCCGCAAGTTTCCTAACGAAATCGCCGCCGGCGTCGCGAAAACACCAAAGCGCGGCCCCAGCGACTCGCCGACACGCCTTGTGACGCCAGCCCCCCCCCCCCCCCCCGCTTCCCAAAGCCTGGGAATAATTACCTGGCCGAATATAAAATGGGAAACTAACTCCGGCGCGGCCTTTCGATTATTCACACGCCACTGCAAATAGGCCGCCCCGCCGGGGCTGGCAGGAGCCTAGCACAGCCTAGCCTCGCCTCGCCTGGCGTAACCTAGGCGTGCTGCGGGGAGGCAGGACTGGCCGAGCTGGCAGACAGCACACGGCGGCAGCCAGGAGACAGGACTGCATCCGCGTTGCCTACCCGCGCGGCGCTCTAGCGCCTGCAACGTGCAGGGTAGGCAACCGACCGCCACGGCTGCATCCGCGTTGCCTACCCGCGCGGCGCTCTAGCGCCTGCAACGTGCAGGGTAGGCAACCGACCGCCACGGCTGCATCCGCGTTGCCTACCCGCGCGGCGATCTAGCGCCTGCAACGTGCAGGGTAGGCAACCGACCGCCACGGCTGCATCCGCGTTGCCTACCCGCGCGGCGCTCTAGCGCCTGCAACGTGCAGGGTAGGCAACCGACCGCCACGGCTGCATCCGCGTTGCCTACCCGCGCGGCGCTCTAGCGCCTGCAACGTGCAGGGTAGGCAACCGACCGCCACGGCTGCATCCGCGTTGCCTACCCGCGCGGCGCTCTAGCGCCTGCAACGTGCAGGGTAGGCAACCGACCGCCACGGCTGCATCCGCGTTGCCTACCCGCGCGGCGCTCTAGCGCCTGCAACGTGCAGGGTAGGCAACCGACCGCCACGGCTGCATCCGCGTTGCCTACCCGCGCGGCGCTCTAGCGCCTGCAACGTGCAGGGTAGGCAACCGACCGCCACGGCTGCATCCGCGTTGCCTACCCGCGCGGCGCTCTAGCGCCTGCAACGTGCAGGGTAGGCAACCGACCGCCACGGCTGCATCCGCGTTGCCTACCCGCGCGGCGCTCTAGCGCCTGCAACGTGCAGGGTAGGCAACCGACCGCCACGGCTGCATCCGCGTTGCCTACCCGCGCGGCGCTGGCTGCAGGGCACTGCAGGGCGATGACTCCGCGGCGCAGCGGGTGCTTTCCCTCGTTAGAAAATCGGTTTGTCGCTCGGTCTCTCTCGCACCCTCACGGAGAGGCCCACGAGTGCGACAGAGACGGAGCGACGAAACGACTCTTCTGAATCGCTCTGCTGGACGTAAACAGGGTCCGGTTTGAGGCGCCGGGATTCCAGTGCGACCGCGACCGTGTTGCGAATTTCAGGGCCCTGCACGCCGCCTCCGCCGAGTCGCTGCGTCGCGCTGTCTCCGTCGCACTCACGGGGCGTGCCGCAGGGATGCGAGAGGTAGAGAGAGAGAGAGAGAGAGAGAGAGAGAGAGAGAGAGAGAGAGAGAGAGAGAGAGAGAGAGAAGCCCGACTGCAGCAGCGGCGCTTTGCACTCGTGACGTTCGAAGTTCAGGCTCCTCGCCGTCAGAACCGCGCGGCCGGGATCCTGGAAGTCCTGGAACCTGACGGGTCGCGACGCGGGGATCCCGAAGGTAACGATGACGTCACCACGCGGCCGTCGGCGGAGACCCCCGGGGACCCCGTCGGACCGGGAAGTCGGGCCCTGGCGGGGCCCTCTGGCCGGCGGGACGTCGCGACAAGCTGCACCGCGTGGTAAACGGGCCGGCGGAGAATCGCGCTCGCCGTCCGTCCTTGCACTTTTGCTGCGTTTTTCATCCTCGACAATGCGGGGTCTGTTCCTCGCTGCTCCTCCGTTTGGAGGCCGGGCCGGACAGGACGGACGGGACCGGACGGACGGACCGGCCATTGTTGTTGCCATGGGAACGGCTTGGCGCGGCTCGGCGCGGCGCGGCTCCAGGAAGCGCCGCGAATTACCCGGACGGAATTACTTTATTTGGAGTCGCAGTGCGAACAGAATGCAAGCGGCGCGCGCGGAGCGGCGCGGCCGCCAAACAGACAAGCCGGCTCTAGTTTCCAGTGTGGCGTCCCGTCCGTCGCGGACGCCTGGACCTGCGAAACAATTCGCCGCCTCGCCTCACCGCCGCCCACTCAACAACAGCTGTTCTTTAAAACTTTGACATTTTTTCGAGAATTTTAAATTTTGCTTTCTGTTCGAAAGCGCAACGACAGTTTTCGAATAAATGCAATCAGCAAATACTCTTGTAATTTTTTTTTTAAATAGAGTTGTTATTTAAAATTTTGACATATATTTTTTGAAAATACAAAATTTTGCCATACAAGAAACGAATTAGACGGGGAGCGTTGAAACTTACACCGAACAAAAATGTTTGTCATTGTCCTAAATTTCGCGCACTGGGCCGGGCGCTTCTCGGAGCCACCTCCCCACGCCACGCCACGCCGCGCCACTCGGCTGCTGCTTCGGACTGACTAATTGGCGCATGGAGTGCCACTGTTTGCATTGTATCAACTGCAGGCGCGTTTCGTCCGAACCGCGTCGTGGCGTGGCGCGGCGTAGCGTGCCCGTGACGCCACTGCTGGCCAAACCGCGTCGCCACGCCACGCCAGTGACGCTGTTCGGTCAGCGGAACCGGGTATCTAGTTTCGCGGAAACCCACTGGAGCTCCACTGGAGCTGGATGGCTGGATGGCCTGGCGCGGCAGGCAGGGGATTCCAAGGCACTTATCAGGCCCACAATGGAACTCGCCCGGTCAAGGAGGAGGAGTGGAGTGGGGGAGTAGGATGTGCCCAGGTCGGACCAGGTGGCAATGTCAACCCACTCGAACGGGTTTCCGCGAATCCGCGCGGTCAGGGGTCGAGCACAGTGGGCCACAGGACTGGCGGAGGCGGCCAAAACTCTAGACGCGTTTTGGGCTCCAGAGGCGCTAAGCACAACTCGAACCGGACGTGTGACCCCACCAATGGATTCCTCGTTCGGAGAGCAATCCATTGATGGGGTCACACGTTCGTTTCGAGTCCCATTGAGCGACTCAGGAGCTCAAATCGCGTCTGGAGTTTTGGCGGCCTCCACCGGTCTTCTGGACCACTGTGTCGAGCCTCGGCGTATCCCAAACGGAAGCCCGTGACGGGCTGCCCGCCAAGGAATGCGGTCTAGCTCCATACCGCAAGAGATTGAACGGGGGTTCGCGAAAATGCAAAAAGGTTGTTCAACAATAATTTTGTTTTACAAGTTATAAAATGGAAAATCAAAGAGACCCCTAGACCCTTCTGAAACTTCTGCAGGGACTCCTGAGGGATTTCGTTCCAGGACAAAGTCGAGAGAGCACAATAAAAAATTAATCTTAACAAAACCCATTTTTATGCATTTTGAATTCCGATTTTATAGACGTTGTTAGGCCAACACTTGTTTCTAGTAAAATTTTCGATCGGGAAAAGTTTTGATTGTTTTGAAAGGACAAGTGTTTTCAACCGAAATCCCTTGGAATGGAAATCGATACAAATGACAGGTCATTGCCTTGGAAAGAAACCAGGCGAACCTTATTTCACGGTGTACTACGTCTTTTAAAAGTGTCCTGTCCGCGCCGAAGCGTTAAACGTCAAAATAACCGGTAGTGCCGTTGCCCGAAGAGCGAAGCGTCCGGGTCGGGTGCCCTACGGTGCCCTACCTTGCGCGATGGGGGCCAGCAGGACGGCGGCGGACACCAGCGCGGCGCTGAGGATGAAGGCGGGGAGCTCCATGTTGCGTGGGACCCGGTCGGGAGGCGTCTGACGAGGCCGGAGGAATCCCCACACGGAGGCGCCGAGCCGAGCCGAGCCGAGACAAGCCGAGCCGAGCCGGGCCGAGCGCAGCGCCGAGCCGAGCCCAGCCAGCGGTGTGTTTATTTCTGTCCCCGCGACAAGTGAACAGTTAGTACGATTACCTATCCTGTGCAACACGGCATGTCGTTACCCCACGGAAAGCCGCCTGTGGCGGCCAGGCCGGGCTGGCAGCAAGCGGCGCGCTCCAGTCGATACAGTGTATCGTTATTATTTCCACCATTTTCTGACGAGCAGGGTCGTCAAAAGCTCGGCACGTAAAATCACTCCGCCTTATCGGCGCTGGCTCATCCGAGGCACGCGACGCGACGCCAACGGGGAGGCCGTGTTCTGGAAGACTATCTCGCCATCGCGGTCGCGTCGCGGCCACGGTGCGCGGTGCTCTCTTGAATTCCATTTCTTGCAGCGTGACAGTGTAGGCGCGTGTCACTGCCTGCAGTGCGGAGTCCATTAGGTAGACCACTTGTTTGTTTGTTTGTGTGTGTGTGTGTGTGTGTGTGTCTGTGTGTGTGTGTGTGTGTGTGTGCGCGCGCGCGCGCGGGAGGCAATCGGGCTGCACGATTTTCCCGCATGATATTAAAAGCCACAGGATAAGGACATTTGTGTTTATTTAGGAAAATTTTGACGTGAAAACATTCTACATCACATTATTACGATAGAGTGCAACAGGCTATCGAACGAGACAAGGAGTCAGGGTCGGACTGGGTGGGTGGGGATGTGTGGGGTCGGGGTCCACGCCGTGGCTGCGCCGAGGAGTGGCCACATGCCCCCCACCCCCCAGTCCGGCCCTGCAAGGTGTGACAACATTGACAAACTTTGGCCTTTTTAGAAAAAAAATCTTAGAGGTACAAATATAAAACCGTCCAGGCCGCGGAGAACCGTAAGTCGATGGCGGTTCGTGTATTTACAGTGATTTACAGAGGATGTGGTCAAACTAAACCTAAGTAGAGGCGGAAGGCGAAGTTATCAAAAACTCTAGATTCTAGGGGGCCTTCATTTTGTAACTTCGAGACCTTCGGAGGAGGAATCCGGAAAGGACGTGAGCCACAGACAATAAAAATAAGAAACTGAATTTTAACATTCAAGGCTTGTAACAACATGTATCCGCTTACAAGATCTTAGACCCCGAAAATTCAAGGCAGTTCACGCACCAGCGCGGCACTACAATACACCACGAAAACACCTGTTATCTCTGAGAGTATGAAAAATCGACCAGGCCAGTCCTCAAGTGCTCTCTCTCTCTCTCTCTCTCTCTCTCTCTCTCTCTCTCTCTCTCTCTCTCTCTCTCTCGGTCCTAATTGCCACGGTGGGGCTGCGCCAGGCTAGGCTGTCAAGGGCCACCAGGCGACTCTAAGGGCGGCACCCTTACGGGTCCTACGGCCTGCAACCGTGTCGCCCTTGGGTCGATCACACGAGGTGGCACCCACGAGGTGGCGGCGGCCGGGCAGCAGAGACCCGACGGCCAGAAGGGAGAGAGGGAGAGAGAGGGAAGGGAAGGGAGAGACAGAGAGCGAGAGAGCAATCGATATGGTGCACACTGGGCTCCGAGAAACTCCAAACGCATAACAAACGGGTTAGACGTCTTGTCCTTATTTATTTCCTTATTGCTATTTTGCCGGGCAGGGTTCGTCTATTTAAATAATAAAGGATTGTTCATTCGTGCCTTTTATCAAGTAACAGACCACAATACTGTGTTCTCCTTTACACTGTTTGTGCGTAACGGCAGTCACTGAGAGTGCTTTCCCTTAAGCACCCGTCTCGATTTTCACAATCATACACAACATCACACACACCATCAAGAAGAATAAGAGAAGAACTTGTCACTAATGTTTGGGACTCGGAACAATAAAAACAGGGACAACGTGCACTCATCGTCAATGACTACAATGTTTAAATATTTGCAATATATTCATAATTTAAGGTACTTAAGTAACTGAAGGTATAGAAGACTCGTACAAAACATTGGAATACAAGACGATTTACAAGGTTCAACAGTGTACAACGTACTATAATTTTTATTTGGTCAGCAAGCTTCTAGCACACTTCTATCTCGCCTGCGAGTCGAAGAAAAACAAAAAAAGAGAGACTTGCTTGATCCTCGAGTGTTTCCAGGAAGGATCCGTTTTCCCACGCTCCACCTCACAATATCACACAGTCACCTTTAATCAGCGAAATAATTTTGGCAGATGGGTGCCCTCCGCCCTTCCTCCAACTTCCACCAACTCATCGATGTCCGATCTCCATGCGATGAGAAACTTTCTGAAACGCGTGAATACGTGAATGCCTAAGTCGGCCCCTCTCCGGGTTCACTCCGCTTGACTCCGCTTGACTCCGCTTGACCACCTGGAGCGACCTACCGAGCGATTCGGAAGGCTCGCTTCATCGCTCTGTCTCTCCCGTAAAGGGGAGTGAGTGCGAGAGAGACAGAGCGACGAACCGACGCTTCGGAGGCGGTCGACTGGAGCCTGGGGGACGGAGCTCCCCCACGAGCGAAGCAGAGCGAGGCGCGCGCTGGCGGTTGGGCTGCCTACCTGGCGGGCGGGCCGCGCCGACTCAGCGCTTATTTTCGAAGTTGCTGGTGTGGTGGCCGGGCACCCTCGCTCAACTGTCTATGGGGAACAAATTGGCCTGCGCCAGTGGAGGCGCGCATTACGTTCAAGACCAGTGGTCGAGAGGGGGGCAGAGGCAGTCTGATCGAAATGGCCGCGTTCAAAACGTCATAGAGCTGTTTCTCTTTGTTCACAAAACTGGTACGCGATTAAAATATTGGCGATTTTGTACCGCCTGCGCGGCTCTGGAATCCTGGGATGTCGTGAAGGTGCGGGACGATTGCGGAGACACTGTAAAAAGCAGCTCGTCAGTCGGGCAGCACGCTGATCCCGCACTGCGCTTTCGTCGCTCTGTCTCCCTCGCACCCCCACGGGTAAGCCAACGGGCAAGCCAACGGGCCGCGAACAGCGCCGTGAGTGCGGGAGAGGCAGAGCGACGGGCGGGCTTGGGGCGGCCCCCGAACCAGGGGGTGGAAACTCCTATGGCGCGGCTGAAGCCAAGCTCGGCGCGCCGCGCTACGCCACGCCACTGCCCGGCCGGCCGGACGGCGGGCGGAGACGGTCTGCCGCCGCGTCTTTTATTGCTCAGAAATCACTTAAAAATTGAATGTTATGAGATGTTGTGATTTTTAAACAATGGATTAAGACCCAAGGAATCGCCCTGTCACATTCATTTTGCCCAAAACTTCCGTCATTTCGTACAGTTTGTCGAGAAAACTTGCGGCGGAGCACGAAAATCCAGACTGCAGTTCATATTTTATTTTTTATCGGGTATTTTGGTTGCTCTGACACGTATAGTGTAAGCGAGTCAAAGTTTCCTTGTACTTTCCTCTATCCAATGCGATACGCGGATGTTGAAAAAGACAATCCGCAAAGAAATGCACCGTCATAAAAGATGCGACGGCGAAATGACAGTTTTCGGCAACATTCATTTCCCGCTTGGATTATAATTTCATCTTTGAGGTTATCGAATAAAGACATCTCCTATGCCATGTCAAATTTTATGTAGATTCCAAATCTGTCCTCGGATTTGAAATCCGTTGAAGGATTGCTGAAATCGAAACGGATTAAGTTTGACTTGTAGAGGTCACGTACACATAACCTCTACAAGTCAAACTTAATCCGTTTCGATTTCAGCAATCCTTCAACGGATTTCAAATCCGAGGACAGATTTGGAATCTACATAAAATTTGACATGGCATAGGAGATGTCTTTATTCGATAACCTCAAAGATGAAATTATAATCCAAGCGGGAAATGAATGTTGCCGAAAACTGTCATTTCGCCGTCGCATCTTTTATGACGGTGCATTTCTTTGCGGATTGTCTTTTTCAACATCCGCGTATCGCATTGGATAGAGGAAAGTACAAGGAAACTTTGACTCGCTTACACTATACGTGTCAGAGCAACCAAAATACCCGATAAAAAATAAAATATGAACTGCAGTCTGGATTTTCGTGCTCCGCCGCAAGTTTTCTCGACAAACTGTACGAAATGACGGAAGTTTTGGGCAAAATGAATGTGACAGGGCGATTCCTTGGGTCTTAATCCATTGTTTAAAAATCACAGCATCTCATAACATTCAATTTTTAAGTGATTTCTGAGCAATAAAAGACGCGGCGGCAGACCGTCTCCGCCCGCCGACCGGCCGGCCGGGCAGTGGCGTGGCGTAGCGCGGCGCGCCGAGCTTGGCTTCAGCCGCGCCATAGGAGTTTCCACCCCCTGCCCGAACAAACGAGTGGGAATAATCATAATTTGGGCCGAGGCAAAGTTGCGCTCGGAGCCTTGCCACGCCGCCATCTCTACCTCAGCAGCCTGGTTCCGAGAGTCGTTCTCGTCGCTCTGTCTCTCGCGCCTGAACGGGACGCCCCGTGAGTGCGAGAGAGACAGAGCGACGACTCTCGGAAGCAGCCCGCTGCCGCGCCGCAAGTTTCCTGCCCTGTAATTGTGGCGCGAGGCCGCGAGGCGGAGGTGGGTGGGTTGGCAGCAGTGACGTTGTAAAAGAACGGTGCGATGCGGTGCGGCGGCCTGGCGGCGGCGTGGCGCGTAGCAGTGTTGCCAACCTCGCTTTGCCGTGTAGTGAGGTTGGTACTACACTACTTTGGCTGCATTAAACGAGCCGGGCCAGCAGGCGCCACCAGGTGTGTCAAAGCAGGGCAGCCAACTCACTCCTAATTACTACACAGCAGTTGTCGGGGTTTTCGGAAAAGTTGCGCGAGCGCGCGATGTGCTCCGGTTATTTATTCACGTATTTATCCGCGGGACACATCCAGCGGCGAAGAATTTCCACCACGCGAAGCGGGAAGCGGGGGCTGACTTCTCATTATGACCAATTTATTTTGATTCATTTTAAACGGCGCACCGCGCCTCGCGTGCCGAATGCCGACCCCGAAGTGGCGCGTTTTAGTCTTAGTATCACGAGAATCAGGAATCTAATTATTCCAGTCGCGACAATGGCAGCGGCGCCTTTTTTTTCCATTTTCGGTCCGACTCTTTTAAACCGGCGGCAGACCTTTTGTTGAGGGTGTGCAGCCCCCCAGGCAGCCCCGATATTCGAGATTTTCGACTTGTTCAACCCCCACTCCCCACCCCCGTCGCTGCAGGGGGCCGTACCTGAAGGACTTCCAGGAACCCTTGTCCGCCCTCCCCTCGCACTTAAACCCCCTTTGCGTTATTAGCGAACTCAGTTTGCTCTGTAGTCTCGCTTCCTTTCGTGTTATTAAAAAAAATTCTTTCCGGAGAATATGGACGCTCTTCGCGTTTTCAGGAAGCGGGTAAAGAACGCTCTGGCCGTTTTCGTGCGTCTCTTCCGAAGGGCATAAAAGCGAGCGCAGGGCAAATCGTCGGTAACTCGAGTCGGTTCGCGGGCGGCGTGGGTCAGTGTGTGTGTGTGTGTGTGTGTGTGTGTGTGTGTGTGTGTGTGTGTGTGTGTGTGTGTGTTGTTTGCTCCTACTGCACGTTCAAGCTTTTCCTGCAACTTGGCACTGCTATGCTCGGCTATGGGAGTGATTCGGCCCCATTCGGCGCGCGGGTGTGTTTGTGTGTGTATGTGTGTGTGTGTGTGTGTGTGTGTGTGTGAGAGAGAGAGAGAGAGAGAGAGAGAGAGAGAGAGAGAGAGAGAGAGGGAGAGAGAGAGAGAGAGAGAGAGTGATTGTGTGTGTGTTTGTTGGGAGCATGAAGTTATTTACACAGCCAAAAAGAAGAAGACGAAAAGCACACTGCGAGAGGGAGGCGAGGAAAGGTGTGCGTCGCCGATTCCGAGAGTCGTCTTCGTCGCTCCTGTCTCTCTCGGACTCATGGGCGGTGCGCGAGAGACAGCGCGACGAAAACGACTCTCGGAATCAGTCTGCCCAGCGCTAACAACAAAGCGACACGCCGCGACGTCAAACCCGCTCAGTCCCCCGGCGCCCCCAGCCTTCCCGCACAAGCAGAAGCGCCTGGTTCATCCACAACGGCATCACATACTCTCAGACGTTTCAGAAAGTTTCCCGTAGTTTTGATAAAAATAACTTTCACTATTCTCACAAAAAAAAAGGATCTCACTTTTGTTAATGGAAAAAAAGGTGAAAAATACGGGTATGCGAACCCTAGTCCCACGGGGTGACGGGGTCGTACTCGCGCGGCGGGTCGGACGCGGCGTCCACGACCACGGCGGCCGTCGTCGTCGGCGCCGCGTCCTCCTCGCCGTTGTTGTTGGCGCTGCTGCTGTTGTTGTTGTTATTGTTGTTGTTGTTGTGGTTGGCGGCCGGCGGCGGCAGCGCGGCCGGCACGGGCGGCGGGCTGCGCGCCGAGTCCCTGGAGCAGCACAGGATGAAGCTGAGCGCCGACCGCCGCGGCGGCACCCGCGTCTCCAGCGCGTTGGACGACTCTGCGGGCCGGAAGGGCAACATCAGCACCACGAGCACCTCGACGAGCACAGACTCACTCTGTCTCTCTCGCGCCGACAGGGGACGCTCCATGAGCGCGAGAAAGACAGAGCGACGGCAACGTCTATCGGAATGTCGGCCTACCCAGCTGGACCTCCTCGTCCGGAGTCACGACCCCGGTGGCGCGCACCAGGTCCGCCATCTCCTGCAGGTCCACGCGCACGCTGGCCAGCTCCTGCTTGTTCCACTCGGGCCGCAGACTCTGCACCAGCAGCTTGGAGAGCGCGCCGCCTGCACGGAAACACTCGCGTCAACGCACAGACGGACAGACAGACGGACAGAGAGACAGGCAGACAGACAGACAGACAGACAGACAGACAGACACACAGACACACAGACAGACAGACAGACACACAGACAGACAGACACACAGACACACAGACAGACAGACAGACACACAGACAGACAGACACCCGTGGCGCGGAGAGCGCCTGCGAAGTGCGGGGTAGGCCAGCCCGCCAGACAGCCGCGCGCGACTGGGGCGTCGTTGCCTACCCCGCACGGCGCTCTCGCGCTCGCCCGCGCCGGCACGCTGATTCCGAGAGTCGTTCTCGTCGCTCTGTCTCTCACGCGCTCACGGGGCGGCCCCTACAGCTGCGAGAGAGACAGAGCGACGAGAACGACTCTCGGAATCAGTGTGCCAGTGAGGCAGAAGACCGGTGTAGGCGCCAAAACTCTAGACGCGTTTTGAGCTCCAGAGCGAGGGGTACCTCACTTCGTCTAGTCAGTGTACACCCCTGACTCCAGTCACTGCCTTGTTTCAGTCTAGTCACTGAAAAAGTCGGCAAAACCACGTAAATTTGTCCCAATTTTAGTATTTTTGCAACGCATTTCGTGATATTTTCAGTCTAGTCAAAGTGGAAATTGAGTATAGTCACCAGTCAGTGTACACCCCGGGGGGAACGAACTGCACTCAAATCTACAATTTTAAAATGCATCTACAACTCTACAATAACTGTAAGGCATCTGGACTTAAATTGAAGTTTATCTAGTGTTACAAATGGCAGGTTGCATACAAAAAAATTATAGTAAGACTGCAGTTGGACCTATGTAGATACAGCAGTTTAACTGTCGTGAAACTACAGTTAAACTGCAGTTAACTACAGTTTTCTTGCAAATAAACTGGTAGTTTTTTTGTAATACTGCAGTCAAATCTGCAGTTTAGACTACGGTCATCTCTCGTTTTAAAAGTAGCAGTTAAAACTGGAGTTGCAAAGTACCTTTTAACTATAGTTTTAAAATTTATTTTTTAAAACTTTATTCCTTGTTCTTCGGGAACTCTCTCCCACCCACCCAACCCCCTTCTCCTTCGTTACTCAACGACTTTTGATGATGAAAGTTGTAGGCGGCGATGGTATTCGAACGACGATCCTCCGGGTCGTGGAGCGGAGGACTTGACCACTACGCTGGCAGGCGGGCGTGTCCGGAGTCGTGCACGACCCGGACCACATGACAAGACCCCCTCTCGTGACCCACTGATCGGGCACTGCAGTTCAACTGCAGTTTAATGCAGTTTAACCATAGACAATGTGCACTTGGCTAGATAATGTGCTTTTGGCTATCACAATTTCTACGCAAACTGACGTTTTATACCGTAAGTCTTACAATTTTATAAGCGGAGAAGCATATCCATTTTTATAAACGATAGGGCAAAAAAAATCCGTATTAGAACCGCTGCCGTTTCTTGATCTTAACGAATTCCGCGCAACTGACTGAACACCAATATTCTGGTTATTCAAACACACAAAAGGAATTAAATTTGGAGAATTTGGTGAATTTATTTGGAATTGGGACAAAATAGAACACTGATTTGGCTGAACTATGAAGTTGCTTACAAAACTGCAAAAAAGGGCAACCAAAATTGTAGTCAAACAACAATTTAATTACACTCCCGAAGTGTGCTTGCTTTTTGCAAACGGAAGTACAATTTAAGTTCTGACTACAGTGGAGTTAGAACTACTGCACGTGAGACTGCAATTAAACTATACCTGTACTGCTGTTGAAAATGCCCTCTATACTACGTTTTGATCTACAGAGTTAAACTACATTAAAAGTACTTTTAAAACTGCCGTTTCTGAACTGCAGTTTTAGACTGTAGTCTGCACTCAGTCAAATCTGCACTTCCTTCCACCCGGGACCTGTTTTCAAAGTGAGGTACCCCTCGCTCCAGAGTCGCTAAATGGGACTCGAATCGAACGAGTGACCCCACCAATGGATGGCTCTCCGAACGAGGAATCCATTGGTGGGGTCACACGTTCGGTTCAAGTCCTGTTTAGCGACTCTGCACTGCAGCCCAAAACGCGTCTATGGTCTTGTCCGCCTCCAAGGGTCTTCTGGCAGATCCACCGTGCGGTGGGTGGGTTTGGTACGCACCGTCGTAGCCGGACATGTCGGCGGGGAACTCCCGGACCAGGATGGCGCACAGGGTGAGCTGGCGCTCGAACATCTTCATGAACTCGCACCAGATGGCCGGCGGGGTCATGGTGTGCGGCCAGGTGCTGGGGTGTTGCCTGCAACCCAACGGCCGATGTCAGAGGTCTGCAGTCTGCACTGTAAGGCGCACCGCACGCACTGCAGGCACTGCACGCACACTGGAACACGACTGGCCAACCTAGAGGCGCTAAACTTTAGGAGTGGCAGTGTTGCCACGTAAGAAGCGATGGATTCCCACGGTGCACCATTGTCGATGGAGTAGCCAACCTCAGCCTGCCGCCTAGGGCGACATCTCGAGAGCACAGGCTAGATGTTTCCTAGCGAGCAGGCTGATGTTGGCAACCCTGATGATGCGTCTTGAAAATCGTTCGCCCACTTAAGTGGCAACACTGCGAGTGAAAGCCTGCCAACCCAACGAAACGAGACAACCAAACGGAATGACAACGGTACACGCATCGCGGCATCGCGGCTTCCGGACTACGAGTAGCTGGACGTCCTCCCCTAGCAGTAGCACAAACAAACAACAAACAACAAAAACAGAAAAGAAAGCACACAGCGAAGCGCGAAGCGGGTAAACGAAACGAAATGGCTGCTGCTTCACTTAACACATGTCCTGCAGGCCGCTCGCCCCGGCACGCTAGAGTGGCAACGCAGGGATGCCCTGCAAGAAGGACAGGGCGAGTTATCTAGCGGCACGGCACAGTGGGCCAGAAGACCGGTGGAGGCGGACAAAACTGTTGACACGTTTTGCGCTCTAGAGTCGCTTAGCCGGACTCAAACGGAACGTGTGACCCCACCAATGGATTGCTCTCCGAACGAGGAATCCATTGGTGTGGTCACACGTTCGGTTCGAGTCCCATTTAGCGACTCAGGAGCTCAAAACGCGTCCGGGATTTTGATCGCCTCCACCGGTCTTCTGACCCACTGTGCGGCGAGGCACGGCACGCCGGCCGAGCGCGAGCGGAGTCCGAGCTCAACCATGCATGGGGCGTTCCATAAGTTAGACGCACCTGGACCGAGGGAGGGGGTAAATGCTGGTCTGGACCGACTTAGCCTCAGCCTCGGCCTCCATGCCGTCGATTAAACAGAGATTCCCCCGCTCGTGTGCGCCGGTTTAGCTTTACAAACAGACTCCCAACCGGGCTTAGTGTCCTCAAAGGTACACAAAAACCCGTCCGACAGTTTCTAATCTTTTTTCTTTTCTTTTTCCCGGGGTAAACAAAACATGAACAAAACTAACTTGAGGTGGTATCGAACCATGAAAGTTGTGCGTGGGAATCCGGTGCGTTAGCGCACTCGGCCACGGCGACCTGCTCACCATTTGTGCGAGGCGGCGATGAGCGGCTTGGCGCTGCGGCACAGCTCCATGGTGGCCATGCGGCACTTGCGCACGTCCTCGCGCAGCTGCTGCGTGTCCTTGGCGCCGCCGATGCACACCATCAGCTCGCGGAATGATGCGATCTGCGCGTTCAGCTCCAGCGTGTACTGCAAACAGACAGACAGCCGGCCGAGCGGCGCGTTAGCGGTCTACGGGGCATCATCGGCGAGCACAGCTTTATTGACAGTGGGGCCGCAGGGAGGGAAGCGGGAAGGGGGCCAGGAAGGGGCACGCCGTCTTTGACAGGGACGGACGAGGGGACGGACGAGCCAATGAAAGGCTTGCCGTTTGCGAGCCAAGTGTGTGTGTGAGTGCACGCGCGCGTGTGTGAGTGTGTGAGTGACACGCGGTCCGCAACTTTGCCCCACGTATAGCGCACAGTGGGCCAGATGACCGCCGCCGCCGGCCAAAACTCTAGACGCGTTTTGAGCTCCAGAGTCGCTGAACAGGACTCGAACCGAACGTGTGACCCCACCAATGGATTCCTCGTTCGGAGAGCAATCCATTGGTGGGGTCACACGGTCGGTTTTGAGTCCTATCTAGCGACTCTGGAGCTCAAAACGCGTCCGGGATTTCGACCGCCTCCGCCGGCCTTCTGGCCCACTGTGTAGCGTCCAGCGGACCCCACCGCCGCAAAAACCGTTCCATATTCCTGTTCCACGCGTTCCGCCGCGTCCCGCCGCGTTCCGCGCGACGAGCGACGGGGAGCAGCCACTGAGAGCTTTTTCGTGCACACGTCTATCTGGCGGTCGGGCATTTGGGGCTCGCATGACGGACGGGGGACTGACGCGACGTCACGTCGAGCCGCCGACAAGAACTAGAACACGACGCGCTTCAAGGCGGGGCGGGGCGGGGTGGGGCGAGGAGGGGTTGGGCGACAGCAAGCAGAGCGCGCGAGGTGCAGCCTGGGTGGCTTACGCCACATCTATAATGCACCTGGCGATGTTTGCCTGTCGGCCTGCCTCAATGGCGCGAGCTGATGACGAGCTCCGTCCGCCCCCCTCCTCCCGCGCCCCGCACAGTGGGCCAGACGACCGGTGGAGGCGGCCAAAACTCTAGACGCGTTTTGAGCTCCAGAGTCGCTAAACAGGACTTGAACCGAACGTGTAACCCCACCAATGGATTCCTCGTTCGGAGAGCCATCCATTGGTGGGGTCACACGTTCGGTTCGAGTCCCGTTTAGCGACTCTGGAGCTCAAAACGCGTCTAGGGTTTTGGCCGCCTCCACCGGTCTTCTGGCCCACTGTGCCCCGCCACGCCCCGCCACGCCACAAGGCGCCTCGCCCTCTCCAAACGCAAGGACATCAGCCTCCTCCCAGACTGATTCGCATACGTGTTCGCCGTTCGTCGGCGGCCTCGCGGCCTTCCTCCCCGCCGCCACCTGCGCTCCTCCCTGATGTCCCAGATCCGCCTCACTCACCCCAGCGCGCCCCGCCGCGCCCCGCCGCGCCCCGCCGGCGTACTTTCCTGCCTCCCTGCTGGCGGGGCGGCGGCGCCGTGGCGGCGCGATGTCTCGAGATTACACGCCTCGCGAGACGAAGACGGCGAACGCGGGGTGACTGAAGCGAACGGAGTGTCGCCGTGACCGACCATTTTGTTTCACCGAATTAACCGACTCCCCTGGTCGCGCTGCCCTCTTCCCTCGCCGTCTCCTCTGCCTTGCTCAGTGGGTCGCAAGACCGGCGGAGGCGGTCCAACCTCTAGACGCGTTTTGAGCTCCAGAGTCGCTAAATGGGACTCGAACCGAACGTGTGACCCCACCAACGGATTCCTCGTTCGGAGAGCAATCCATTGGTGGGGTCACACGTTCGGTTCGAGTCCCATTTAGCGACTCTGGAGCTCAAAACGCGTCCGGGACTTCGACCGCCTCCACCGGTCTTCTGGCCCACTGTGCCTTGGCGACGCTGAACGGCCTCACCAAGGCCGCTTGCCCCGCCTTCCCTCGGCTTGCCGCCCACTGCACCGCCCTCCTTCAAAATTCCCTGTGACGTGTGAATGCGCGCCCCTGCACTGGGAATTTTACCCCCTCCCCTCTCACCCAGGAAACCGGATACTCCGCCAAGCCGCCTCTGAGGGGCTAACTGTGACAGCACGCGCCGTCGGCGTGACGGAGGGGTAGGGGGTGGGAGTGAGAGGGACAGCAGTCGACCCGGCCGGGCCGCGCTGTCTGGGATGGGATCGCTTTGTATCACCCTCCCTCTCTCTCCCTCCTCCTCCTCCTCCTGCGCTCCGAATCCTTCCCCGTCTTTTTTTGCCTCTTCCTCCTTGGTGGATCTGCACGACAACGACTTTTCTGATATGACATCAAAAAGCACGCGGGAGATTATTTTCGTCACCAGCCGAAAAAAAATGTGTTTGAGTGTGTGCGTGTGTGTGGAAGAGAGAGAGTGTGTACGTGTGTGTGAGAGAGAGGGGGGCGTGTGCGTGCGTTCGCGTAAGAGAGATAGAGAGAGAGAGTGTGTGTCTGTGTGAGTGTCTGCGTGATACGGTAGGGCAGATGATGGCAAAAAGATTGAGGTTACGTGTGTATCGAGCAGGCTGCAGCCACATGATGTCCTCCACTCTCCTCCTCACCTCCCTGATCCTCGCCGCCTGATCCGCTGTGCGGCGCTGTGCGGCGCTGTGCCACTGCGGCAGCGGGCCGAAGGGTCGTTTTCGTCGCTCTGTCTCTCTCGCACTCACGGGGCGTCCCACGGGAGTGCGAGAGAGACAGGGTGACGAGACGCGGCTATCCCGCCAGTGTCGTCTCGCCACTCGAAGTCGCGAATAAGGTACAAGGTTCCTGCCACTCACTCGTTCACTCACTCACTCACTCTCTCACTCACTCACTCACTCACTCACTCACTCACTCACTCACTCACTCACTCACTCACTCACTCACTCACTCACTCACTCACTCACTCACTCACTCACTCACTCACTCACTCACTCACTCACTCCACTCACTCACTCACTCACTCACTCACTCACTCACTCACTCACTCACTCACTCACTCACTCACTCACTCACTCACTCACTCACTCACTCACTCACTCACTCACTCACTCACGCGCTCACGGCCACGAGAACGCGCGCTCGGACAAATGCAACATACGTGGGAAAACGTAATGAATATTGAAAAGCTGAAAAGCAAGCAGCAGCGCGCAGCAGCGCGGCGCCGCACAGGCAACCCGCTCAGCTCTCGGCTTTGCTCAAACTCACTGCATGCAAGCTACTCGGCGGCGCCGGCGGAAAATAAAGTAAAAAGGGCGCAAAAAAAAGACAAACGCATAATTCTTTTCATTTTAGAAAGGGAAGAAAAAAGATTAAGGCCGGGTTTTAATGCCACGGCGGTTCGGGCTGGTCTCTGAAGGTGCAGCAGCGAGGGGGAAACGACTTCGGTTATCCGATGTACAGCAAATTGGTTATCCGTTATCCGGATAACCAGAAATTTCGAAGTAATCCGGGGAAATTCTGAGGTAATCCGGGGTAATCCGGGGAATTTCTGAGGTAATCCGGCGTAATCCAGTGGTAATCCTGGAAATTTTTCGATGTAATCCGGAGGTAATCCGAGGGTTATCCGGGGTTATCCCTATCCGATGTACACCAAATTTCTGAGTCGTTTCCCCCTCGTGCAGCAGCCTTGCCTATGGCAAACATGTGGTGCGGAAACTCCGCCTCTAACTTCTCCAAGAAGGAATTAATCCCCTTTCTTCTTTATTTCGTTCATTCGCTTCCTCGGCAACCCTTTTCTTTCCACTTCGTTTTCGATTTATTTTTTTATTTTTTGTTCGACTCTTCGGGTTCTCATCCTCCCTGTTCCAGCCGACCAGCCTGGCTCCCTCGGGGGCGAGACAATACCAGTCGTCCAAGGGGCGGCCGGGCCAGCGACTCTCACGAAACACTACACCACCCCGACAACTTTTTTTTCGTTACCAACATTTCCAGCAGTGCCGAAATTCAAACAAAACTTGTCACGGAGGAGGTGGTGGAGGGAGGTCTCATTCTTTGGCTGAGCGACAGCGCCACCCAGCCACCCTGGCTGCGAAGACGGCGGAAAAGGGGGGGGGGGCAAAAGTCTGCAGGTGGAACTTGACTTTGGAATTGCGCGTTTTAGCGGCGGTGCGTTGGCAGTACCGCCTCGCCGCGCCGCGACGCCGCGCCGCTTTCACGCCGCAGCCCCGAAGCCGCACGGCCTTTCGCTTTTAGCCTCTGTTTGCTATTTTCTGCCATTTTCTGCTATTTTCACTGTCCGATCCACAGCGATCCGTCACGATGCGGGCCGCGGCCGCGGACGCGGCGCCTGGCTCGGGGTTGTTGTTGTTTGCTTGTTTGGTTTCAGCGAGAAGGAAGGCAAACAAAACAAAACAAAAATATGGATATTGCGGGGCCGCCGGGAATCGAACCCGCGACCGACCGGGTGCAGCCATGCGATACCGAGCGCGAACCGGTTCATCCCGCTCGTTTTGACTCCGTGCCTTCCAGGAATGAAAGGGTCTGTCGCTCTGTCTCTCTCGCACTCGTGGGGCGTCCCGTCAAGGCGCGAGAGAGACAGCGCGACGAGAACGACTCACAGTGTGCTGGGCCTCGCGAATACACATACCCACTCCCACGCGCGGCACGGCGGGCGGTGTCCGGTAGTCGCGCCGCGTCCCTCTCGCACACACGGGACGGCCCATAGGGGTGCCGGAGAGAGACCGAGCGACGAAAGCACTGTTCTGAATCAGCCTGGACGCACATCGACTTTGCGGTTCGTTCTGGCTAATGAACACAGTGAGTTAGGCCGCCGCGCCGCGTTGCGCCCCGCCCGCCCCGCCCCGCCCCGCCCCGCCCCGCCCCGCCCCGCCCCGCCCCGCCCCGCCCACGCCGCCCCGCCCCGCCCCGCCCCGGATGCGGCAACCGAATTACGGCAAATCTACTTAGAGCACCGTGCCGCGACCGCTAGCGGCGCTCCGCGTGGCTGCGATAATTCTCCCGCCAAATTGTCGGTCTTGTTGTTGTCGAACGGGAAGGTGAGTGCCAGCACTGTGTCCAGGGCACTGAAAAACGTCCCCCTGCGTCATTTCAGTGTGTGTGTGTGTGTGTGTGTGTTGTGTGGTGTGTGTATGTGTGTGTGTGTGTGTGTGT